TATATAAATATATATATATATATATATATATAAACTTTTTCAATTTCGTTCAAAATTTTATTAATATTTATTTATCTATCTAATAAGAAAAAAAATATATTAATACAATAAGAATATTTTTCAAAAAATTTATAAAAATTATAATAACAATGAAGGAAAATTAATGTATTTTAGAAATATCATTAGTAATATATTTTAATTAATATTATATGTATTGATATTTACTTATATTGAATTATAAAAAAAAGATATAATTGTGTTAAAAGATAAAACTGTTTTGAAAAGAAGTCCTTGAATTAAAATTCCAGACATTACTAAAAGTAAGAATAGTTAATTATGTTGCTTTGTATGAGAATTAGTGACATAATGCAATGCATGTGACTCTATATTATAAGAAGTCTTTTGTTATTGGAAATTCAAATACTTCTTAAAAAACGTAAAAAAACATATATTTACTATAATTAAATAATTTTCACAAAATTAATATAAAAATAAAACTGGAAAAAAAATATTTTATAAATCTAATTGTATCTATTTTAATATTTCATAGTTTATAAATATAGGTAGAAAATCTATATTTATAAATTTAGAAAATTATTTTAGTATTTTTTTATATTGTTAATCATATTTTAAATATTTATTTTGCAATAATTGTATAATTTAACTTTGAATATAAAAATATTTGTTAATTTTTAATTGAAACAATAGAATTTTGGAACTCTAATCAGAACATTAATATCAATTTCGATAACAAGTCTTATCTACAATATGAGCATATTAATTTATAACATCAAACATTTAACTGTTTATATAAGTTATCAATATTTTTCTTCATAAAACTACGTATCACAATTGAAAATAGAATCTTCTTTTCTTTTCTTTTAGTATTATATAATTTTTTTTTTAAAAATCATATTTTTATATATCTATATTCCTATAAAAGAAAATTTTTTCAAAATTGTTATGTTATGAATTGATAAATATTATAAGAATTAAATAATTATAAGCTAAAAGTTAAAAATTATTAAGAATGATAAAATAATATATTATTAAAAGTATAATCTTATAATAATTGAAAAATTGATACAATTATCTTTGAATGCTAATATTTTCATGTTTTAAAATTTAATTATTTACATATAAACATTATTATTACATATAACATATACATATTACATTTCTATATCAGATATAAATATAAAAATTTAGTATATATCAGAGTATAAATATAAAATTCTTATTTATAACATATTTTACTAAAATGAAAATATACTTTTTATGATTTCAAACTGTTATAAATCTATGACAATTTTATTTATTTAAGATAGTAAAAAGTAAGATTAATATTGAAATAAATAATAAGATTAAAAATAATAATAAATAAATAAATCCTTATTTATGAATTTATATAACAATAAAAACATACATACATGATATTTTTAATTGTAAAACATAAAATTTGGAAAAATATTAAATTATATTAATATAATAATAAAATGATTATTAAATCTAATAAAAACTTTTAAAAATTGATTTATTATAATTATATAACTTACATAGTAGATGTATTTAAATGTAACATTTGTAGTAGATAAATAAAAAATATGAAATCAAAAATTATTTTTAAAGCCATCTTTAAGTTTCCTAATGACTTATCTGCTTCACTAATAAACTTGGACTGATTCTTTCTTGCATATACATACTCTTGAGTAAATTTGTTGGAAACTAAACATTACTCAACCATTCCTCCCACTAACAGTATTTCTTTATAAAGCGAACATTTAGATGTTTATATGATGTATATATGATGTTATATGATGATATGATTATAAATTACAATATAAGATATTTTAAAACTGTGAAATAAATATATATGAAATAATTAAATAAATATTATAAAAAAAAAATTTTTTTTATATCATTTTATTAAGTTTTAATTTTTAAACTATAACAAATAAAAACTTTAAAATATAAATTATGATGCATACTTATATATATTAAATTAATGATACTAATTTCTATATACAATATTTATTTTTATGATTTTTTAAAANTATATACATATATAAATTGATATCATATTGATATTTATTATATATTAATATTTGTTAATATCATATTAATATTTGCTTTATATTTTTAATTATATAATAAGTATTATATATTTTACAATGTAAATATCATTATATTTAATTTATTTTTATATTTTTAAGACATTCAGTTCACAATGTCTTAAAATTAAAATTAATTATTAATTGATTCAAAATTAAATAAATTTTCATCTTTTAAAAAATTCTATATATATCATTAAAAATTGATATTAAAAAAGTAGAAATATATTAAAAAATATATAAAATCTTACAGAACTTTATACAATTCGTTAGTTACATATTTAGCTCATTTCTACAATTGTAATCCGTGGTTTCATACGATTGAGAGTATAATTGAATAAATGCAAATTTTCTAATAATTTTGTTATTCTTATATAATGACGTTTAGTGTATGGTATGATAGATTCCAATGTGGAAGTTAATTTTGTTTGAAATTCCAAATTTTCTATTTCCATCATTAATGTGTTTATAATTATCTGTTAATCATAAACATTATAATCATAAAAATTTAGAAAAAAAATATTATAAATATATTATTATAATAAAATTTTTTACTTCAAAGAATAATATAATTTGCTAAGAATTTACCTGAGCAACTTGACAATTTTTACTATTAAAATTCCATATAACAGCACATTTCAGCAGTTCTTCTTTATAAATTGGTTTTAATTCATGAATTGTTTTTTCAAGATGAAAATTATTTTTTTTTAACATAGCTAAAAAAAATTAAAAATTGTAATAATAATAAAAAGATAATTAATTTTATTCAGTTATTAATTTATATAGGATGATTAATATATTTTATATATCCATTTTCTTTTTTGAAAAATGCTTTATATAATGTTATTAAGATAATAATTTTTTTTAAGATAATATATATCATTAATAATATTGTATATAATATATAAATTAATTAATAAAATTTATTCCAATAAAATATTGTATTATTTAATAATTAACTTTAAATACAATAAAAATTTTTATTAATACTTACTTTCTACAATTTTGAGAACTTGAAAAGGACGTTCTAATTTTAAAGCTAATTTTAATGCAGAAGTTAACTCATTTGCTTTAAATAAATTTGATAATTTTTGTTCTTCCAATGCAATTTGTTCTAATTCTTTTACAGCTTTTATCTTCTTTTCCTCAGTTACATCTTTCCAAATTACTAACAATGAATCACTTCCACCGCTAATAATAGTTTTTTCATTTTTACTAACTATAATTAAAATATAAAATTATATATATATATATATATATATATATAATACAATATGTAAATAATGTTACAATAATATTTACCTGCAAGTGACCATATACGACTTTCATGCTGTTCTAAAATACATGTACATTCTGATGTTTTAATATTCCAAAGTTTCAAAAGACCATCTCCACTTGCTGTAATTATTTGCATTCCACGTGACAAAAATTCTGCTTTTAATACTGATGATTCATGACCTTCAAATGTCTAGCATATAAATAAAATTATTAAACATATTAATAATAATTATAATGAATAAAATGGAATTATATTATATTATAATTTAACGAATAAAGTTACTTTTAAACAGTGAAGTTCTGTTAATGACCAAAGTTTTATTGTGCAATCTGCTGATGTTGTTAGAAGTACTTGATCTATGGGTGAAAATCGTACACACCAAACTCCTCTACGATGTCCACGAAATACACCAAGTAATTGTAAATCAGCAGACCATAACTATAACATAGTATAAATATATTTAATAATAAATTATATAAAAAGAATATTATGTATTATATAAATTGATTTAATAAAAATACTATGTTAAATGGTACATCTAGTAATTTTTATATAATAATTTTTATATAAAAGTTATATGATTTGCTTATTAATCATAATATTTATTCCATAAATTATTTATTTTACTTTAATTCTTGTTATTCCTAAGAAAAAATTAAATACTTAACGATATCAATAATCGATATTTACAGATAATAAGAATCAATAATCTATTAAGTATAATTGCATTATTTGAGAAAAAATGAATAATGAATGAATTATAAAGTGAAGAATGTTATATATATATTTTATTGTCATATATATATTATTTTAAAAATAATCTATCATACCTTAGCTGTTTTATCTTGAGATCCAGTAGCAATTAATTTATCATTTGGTGAAATAGTTACACTGTTAATATCTTTTTGATGAGCCAATGTTGTATGAATAACATTTAAAGAACATGTACCTATGATTATTGAATATATAATATCAAGTATTAAAAATAATAATTCATAACAAATAAACATTATATTTACCTTTAAATTCAATATCATTTTGTAAATTCCATAATTTAAGACATAAGTCTTGACTAACAGAAACAAAAAACTTGAAAGATGTTTGAGAAATTGCAATACAACCAATAGGAGCAGTATGTCTAATAGCAGATGCGATGCAAGATACTTTATTTGTTTGTTTATCCATAAGCCATACACGAATACTATTATCCTATAAATTAGCAATTTATATATTATTCAATTTATAATTATTGTATATTATTTCAATTTATAATCAATATTTATTGTGTTTCTATATTTATCTTATCTTATAATAAAAAAAAGTATAATTTTTTTTCATTCTAAAAATATTACTTTCTTTGTAATTATTAAAATTTTGTAATTTTAATAATTTATTATTTTTTTTTATTGATTAAAAAACAATTGTATTATGATATATAACATATATAATAATATTATTTTTCAAATTAACTCTTTACATACCTTTGCTGCAGATAAAAGTAAATAGACATTAGCATGTGTTGTAGCAAGAGATAGCACAATATCTATATGACCACGTAACAATTCACAATTCATAGTTAAAGTATTGTATAATTTTATGTCGCAACTATTAGTAGCAATTGCTATATGGCTCTCGTTATCTCCAAGAAATACAATATCCAAAATTTCATCACTGTAACCTATTAACTATAAAAAATAATTATTATATATTTATCTATTAAATTATAAATTTTATTTTTATTTTAAAAATTGAATTTACCTGTTTTATACACTCAAATGTTTCTAATGAATGAATAATTATATTATGATCAACTGTAACTACAGCAAAGTTGTTACTGATATCATTATAAAGTAAATGTGTAATCGAAAGAGTTTCTGTTTCTTTTGCAGCTGATACAATGGAATTTTTTTGTGCATATATTTCTTTACCAGTTTTCATTTCCCAAATTTTTACAATTCCTTAAAAAGAATTTAAATTATAGAATAAATAAAAAATTTTTAAATAGTTATATATAAAAACATATTATATTAAATTTTAATTAAACAATCATTACAATAAAACATAAAAAACAAAACAACATTCATTTATTCAAATATAAAGAACAAAACAAAGTTGAAATAGAAATAAAAGAGATTCAATAATTATCTTTGATAGTAATTTGAACTAATTTAGACTATAGATTATAAACTATAGATTATATTTAGATTATAATTTAAAATAAAAAAGGCTATATTCATTATAAAAATATGCATTTTTAGTAGAATATTTCTTGACTATAAGATAATAAAAGGTTATGAATTAATATATTTGAAACTAAATATTAATTTGATCTTGATATAAATATTAATTTAACGTTAGTTTATTGTAAATATATAAGTATCTTTTATAATATGTTATAAAAAAATTTATAATTAAACCTTTTTCTCCTGCAGTAGCAATATGAATAGCATTTTCATCTTTGTTATAAAAAGATTCAAATAGTGATAAATTTTTAGGTATAATAAATGTATCTTCTATTTCTTCATAAACTGGTATAACTCGTATTGATGATTCAGAAGTTAGATCCCATAAAATAAGTACTCTATCTCTTCCTGAGCTATATAAAAAAATATTATAAATTATTCACATTAGAAATTTTTAAATCTATAGTATGTTACCTAATCAAATAATCCTGGTCCTTAATAAAAGATAAAGATGTAACTTTACTAAAATGTCCAGAAAGCATAATTTCTTTTTCACCAGTTTTAATATTCCATCCATGAATTTTAATATCATCTCCAGCAGCAAAGATAAGTTCTTTATCAATATTTGGATGAAAAACTAAAACACTATAATTATATTTTAATTTATGAATTTTATATATATATTTCATATATATATTTGAATATATGATTAAAAGATTTTTATATTTATTATATTATTATATTTATAAATAGAATAAAAGTTATATTTTTTTAAAATAAATACCTTATAACTCCTTGAACTCCTTTCAAATTATGAGTACAAGTATGATATTGTAAATTCCATAATCTGACAATACCATCACTACCTCCAGAAGCCATCAAATTTCTTTCCATGGAATGAGCAATATGAATTACAGGACCTTTGTGAATAGACTTCCATAATTTAATTAATTTATTATCTGTAATAATAATACTTATTATATTGAATAATAATTGCTTATAATTAAATTAAATAATATTACCTTTCCAATTCCATAATTTGAAAAGACCACTTTTATGATGTGTGATAATATTTAAGTTATTATTACTTGCAATAAATGTATTAATTGTATCTTCTTCATTATTATTATTTTCTCCTAAGTAAGATATTACTATACCTTTTTTTACTGATAATATAGAAACTGTACCATATTTTTGACAAAATATATATTGTCCATCTGTACTCCACTATAAGAAAAATTAATTTAATTATCTAATAAAATAAAAAAAAAATGAATAATATATATAACTTAATCAATATACTTGAACTTTTCCTCCTGTATAAAAAGCACCATGTTTAGATTCAACTTCGAAACTGAAATTAAATATAATTAATAAAATATATATAATATGAAGAATCAAATTTTAAAATTAAAATATAATCCATTACATAATCTAGGTATATGCTATTTATTTTATTTTATTTTATTTTATTCTTTTTTGATATAAAATTTCAAGTGTGATACAGAATTTTATTAATTACAGGATATTAAAGAAAAAAAAATTAATTAAATTAATTACTTACGCTTCTTTCAAAACAACACTACTCATGTTTTGTGAATTATCATAAAAATTTTATGTTTTATAAATAATTTTAATAATTAACACTTATTTATATATTATATTTATGTTAATCGATTATAAATAGAAATATATATTAGAAATAAAACGAAAATTAATTAAAAAACAATTATGAACAAATATAATACTTTTCTTCATGGATTATTTAATTTATTTTATGTTATGTTATTATATTTTATGTTATTTTTGTTTAATGTTATTTTATGAATCTTTGCGATCTTGTGGCACCTTATGAATCAATTTATCATAGCATGAAATTCGCGGTAAATATA